ACACACACACACACACACACACACACACACACACACATATACACACACACACACACACACACACACACCCCCCAATACTAAGTATCAAATGCAAATGAGATGAGTCTTGCTCCCACCATCTGTACAGTATGCACACACAAGTGTAGAAGCCAAAACTAACGTTCTCCATGGGGACTTTTTTTTAGTCTTAAAAAAAGAACACAGCTGTTTTTGGGTGTCTCTAAACTCAATTTAGCTGAGAAAAAGATAAGGCAAGAAAAAAAGTCGTTTCATCGGAGATATCATATGCACAAGAAGGAGCCAGTATGCAACTACAACAGGATAGTATTTCACCTGATTTCCAGTATATGCAAATATATGCTGTAATAACACTTAGAAAGGGATGTGCTACAATAAGGTATGATATCAAAATACAAGCTGAGAAGAGCACAAAGCCCCCCTGCAAGCATGAAGTTGGCAATGAAGTTTAAATCTAGCTTGGTATAACCTACAGAGATGTTCTACCTACCCTGTTGCTGGCTACAGGGATGAAAAAATTTAACATCCTCAGATGAGATAATGATACCAACCAAATTCCTGGTATGGATACAGCTATGCTGATAAACAATTATTTTGTTAGCTTAGCTTGTACCATTCATGAAGGTTGTATTTCTAGTATGGCAGAAAAAAATTGACAGCATATGCTGGATCTACACTATGGGGCTTTATGATACAGTTATTCAGGCATAATTATTGTGGTTGTGGCTCTTTAGGAAAGAAAAGCTCGGCAAGAGGGACACTCATCCCTAACTGTCAGAAAAACAAGTATATGTAATATGAACAATACTGGCTAGCCATCATCAAAAACATATATATGCAATTGTTGTACAAAATGTGGTTCCAGGTGGTCCAAGAACCTAATCCAAAGATGCAGTTTTCCAAGAGCTTAACAGCATGGAATGTAAAAGAATTTTTTTCTGAATTTCTTCTGAATACCAGTACAGAAATACAGTTTGATGAAAGAGTTCATCGTAAAGGATAAAAATCAAGTACAGTACTCTGCATTTGAGCATGATCATATGATATATCCAAAAATAATTTCACTGTTTGCTGCATGCAATTTTGATAGTTTTTCAAATCTAGGTTGTGTACAAGTATCTAGTAGATATATTATAACCAGTTGATTATGTTCCAATGATTGCAGTTGGATTCTTTGACTTACCACTCTAAGTAATTGTGTAAATAGAAAAAAAATGTCAAGAGCCTGTGAGCCTAGTGTCTCCACATAGAACTGTATTGATTTTACACTTTGAATATAATGCTGTGGAATGTGAAGTGCTCTACAATAAGCGCCAGGGAAGCATGCACAGTAAGTGGCTGCTGGAGATGCCTGAGGCAGGGTCCCAGGTCAAGTCAGCACTAATTGAATAGAAAAAGTCTGCTTTTTCACCGGAACAAAAATATGACAGCTTTATGAAATGCAGGTGATAATAATAAAGAGTACTCCACAAGTAAGCAGTTAGTAAGTCTGGAAAATCCAGAATGTTACTACACATTTATCTATATGTCTGAATAAATATGTAAAATGGATTTACAATCTGGGAGTTGGCGATAAAGATGAGGATACCATAGAATATAAACTCAATTGTTAAATTTGCAAAGTAGATAAATCTTATTTGAAAGGTTCACTTCTGTTTACTTCTTGGAAATGCAAAGTTTATACTAAGAGAATAATTATGCAGCAATGATTTTCCAGCTGAATAGTTTGTGTTAAGAGTTTTCATCACTAACAAGTTTCTGTTTAATGAGAAGCATACACTGAAATATTGGAATTTAAAACTGCCTGTCAATTTACATACCTGAATCATGGACTCTGCCAGCTGTGTTTCATCTACTTCCAATATCATCATTTTGATTTCCTCATAAGGCACTCGGAAAGAACCAAGGAAAATTGCTAAAACAAAAATTTAATGCATAATGAATGAAGGAAAGATGATACCAATCTTTTACTCTACTTACAAAGCTCATATTAAATGATTTATAGCACTCTATAGGTCACCCAAACGGTACACAAATACTATAGATAAAACATAAAACTTTGTATTGAAGTTTTTACCACTTCCCAGTTCCAAGTCTGACTCTTCCTACCCTATGGATAGACATACTTTCCTGCCTTAATTAGAGCCAGTGATTCAATGTCAGTCCATTCTCTGTGACAATGGTATTTTCTTCTTGTAGCTATAATCGTAAAGAAAGTTCCCACTGCACTCTTTGAGTGGCTACGAATAGAAAAGGCATACCATATTGCAAAACAAACATATTTTTATTTGTAAGCAAAAGGAATAATTGCTCATTTTAATACTGCACTGAATTTAATAAGAAATTAAGAGATAATGGGTTACTCAGATAAACAGTGAAGTGTGTGGGTCATGAAGGAAGGTGGGCTTAAAGTTGATATCAAAGAGCCAATGACAAAATTCAAATATGGAGTAGCCAGGAATAACTGTATTATGTAGACTGTTTACAGAAATGTTTTATGTAGACTGTTTGCAAAAAAAGTGGGCGTAAGAAATCTTGGAAAAGAAAAGGCTGTAATTATCAAAACAAGAAACGAAGGGCCTGGGGGAGGGTTTTATTATCTAGCCAGAAAAGCAGCTCTCTCATAAATATTTTGTTGAAAGAGGAGGTACAACTTCAACAACAACAACAAAAATGAATGTGAGGAGAAAGAGGAGGAGAAGGATGAAGAGAAGCTAAGGAAGTGAGACACAAAAGGAATGGTAGGACTTGAAAGCATTGACAGAAAATAGGAAAAGCAAGGATGTTCAAGAGATAAAAATCAGAAACTGAAATTTTGGCCATATGAAGTTTAAACTGCTGATGGACCATACAGAGAGTTATCAGAACGGCCGGTTTTAATGGAAGACTACCCTTGTTGGGAAAATGATGTAGGAACTGTTAGCGTGTAGATAACATGAAATCAGGAATACAGTATCAGAGGGAAAGCAAAAAGGAAACAAAGATGTTTTTGCTGTTCCCATTTTTATTAAAGTCCACAATGCTCCATCTATACAAAATCCAGTCACTACGATCTTCCTGGATAAGTCCTGGTTACCTTCATGCACATCAAAGCCTTTACAAATACTGGTTTCCAATTTGCTATTTAACCAAGTAGGTTGTGCCTAAAATTTGTCCGCAGACTCTAAAATGAAGTAACTTAACAGTAATTGAAATTCTTTGAGATGTATTTTCCACATAAGTGTGTAGGTGTGTGCCATGCCCTATGCTTTGACTGGAGGCTTTTTTTCCCTTGCTGCCTTAGCAGTAACTCGCAGGATAGAGCCTTGCCACATTTTCACATGCACCCACACTGAGTGGGTAAAGAATAGTTTGTACTTCCTGACCCTCCGCTTCCAGGACTCAAAGTTCCAGGGTTCTATTTTGATTTTGACTTCAAGGAAGATGAGAAAGAAGGAGCTCTAAATATGTGCTGTACAAGGACAACACATCTCAAAGAACATCAGTTACTGGTTAGTAACTTTGCATTCTCCTTAAATAACTGTCTCCCAAAAACATTTCCTAGTTGTGACAGATTCCAGAGAACAAGTGGGTCTCAAAGTCCCCTTAGGCAAACAGCAAGTGTAAGACTGCTATGACAATAATGGCATCAGATCTCCAGGCTTCTGCAACAGCATAAAAACTATGAAGGTATGGATGGATGTAGGTGTCACTGATGGCACTATACAGAAATGCTACTGAGCTAGGGTGGGAAGTGCCTATATACCATACATAACTGACCCCCCACCCCAAGTGGTCTCAACAGTCATGCAGTTCAAGATCCAACTGAACAACCACTGGGATGATATCATGTTGCCTTTAAAACTCTGCTTTTGAGATGCAGAGCTGTAGACACTTTCTAATTCAGGGATCAGCAACCCTGTAGTAATGGTGGGCCAAATTAACACAGCTTGGCCCAAAGGCAGGCCACCACTTGTGCCCTGGTCATCACCTGCAATCTAGCCACTTCCTCCACTCCTGATTGCTGCTGCTTCCTGCCCCACCCCCCTAGTGTTGATCATTGCCAGCAACTGCTGCAGCTCCTTCTGGAGGACTTTTTGAATCAGAGGTTTAGAAATGGAAAATAGTTTCACCATGAATGTCTTAGACAGAACCTGAACTGAACGTCCCTAGAACAGAAGAGTCATTTCTTGGTGGCCTCTTGATCCCATTTTGCAAATATAATCCTAACTGCTGGATTCTTGATCTCACATATGATATACAGAGATGACTCTCCTTTGGCAATCTTTTGCAGTATTCTGAAGACCTGACAGGTGTACTGTAGGCTGGTAAACTTGACTGCTTTTGCCTCAATCCCATAACATGTCTACTTCAGACATACAGCACCACCATATCTGTTGATGTAAAACATCAGAGTGGTATTGTATATCACAATCTGGACATGATGCTCTTGAACATAGTGCATAAAGGCTACTGAAGCTCTCATTTCTAAAATATGAGTCTGCAGGTTTATTTCATCCTGGGACTAGAGACCCTAGATTTGAACATCTCCTAAATTAACTCTCTAACATCTCTGGGCAGCATCAGTCACAACTGTCACACTGGAAAAAGAAGACACAAGTGGTAATCCCTTGAATGCCTTACTTGGATTTTCCAATCACACCATGGAGGAAAGCAATGAAATCGGGTCTAAGAACAAAAAAAAAAACCCTTAACATGCATGTGCATGTGGAGCGGGAGGCTTTTCTATAGGCCCTATTAGCTGCATGGTATGGACCTCTTCCTGCAGTAGACTCTTATAAGAAGGGTCCCCAAAAAGAGGTTAGGAAACAGGAGCTGTAAGACGACAGCCATTCAAAAACTGGATCAATATCAGGATACCCACTGGTAAAGGCCCAATCTGGGAAAAAGCAAACCAAATGATTTTGGAAAGGTAGGCAGGTAGCATCTTCCAAACTCCCCGTTTCTGAGTACAAGATTTGTGAATTAGAGAGTAAGATACAGCTAAGTGCTTTTGTCAATGGAAACTCTACCATTTTCTACAAATTTCCCTTTGGCAAGAGGTACCAGGAAAATGGAAAGCCTGGGTCTGAAAACAGTACTCAGTGTAATGACTTTACTTCATTAGTAGTAGTAGAGGATGCTAGCACAAGCAAACCTTTCCTCAGCGAAGTATATGAGCAGTACCCGAACCTGTGCTTATAAAGAGGAAAAGAATACTCACCACCCATGGCTCTCAAATCGTTCAGAAATTTGCAAAGCCTCATCTATCATAGAACGCAACAATTCCAGACCTTTGAGAGACAGCTACTCTGCACAAGTCTCGGCCACCTTCAGCGGGTCTTTTAGTGCCCTCTTAAATGAAGCATTATCAAACAGGAAGTGTAACTATTTTGACATCTCTGGAGAAATTCTCACAGCCTTGACTGCTACACTGGACAAGAGGAGTTTGCTGGTATCCCAAAACCAGGTCTCTTCCAGGAATGTGGAGAGCCTGGGCCTGAAAACAATGCTAGGTCTGGTGCTTCTCCAGCTTGACTTATAAAAAAGCCTGGTGCCAGAAGTAAATGCAAGGTGGTCTGCAAGGCTTGACGATGTAGCATACAGGCTGCTTTGATGGAGGAAGACAGGACTAGGGTGCACTCTACCTATACTGCTAAGGTTAAAAAAAAAGTCTCTGGTCAAAGTGGAGGATGTAAGACACATCCCATAAGTAAAAATAAGTATGTGAACAGTTATTCAAAAGGCAATTATTCAAAGCTTTGGTAGACAAAAAAAAAACCCAAGGACTGCAACTTTCCAAACAAAATCAACCTAAAACATACCCAGCATGAAATAGTTAATTCTTTATAACATTTTATGCAATTGAAAGCATAGTCTAGTGCTGGGTAATATCAGGCAACCTTAGTAATAAGCAAGTCTAAGTGGTACCACTTACAATGAAGAAAATAATTGTTTCAGGTTCAAACTTGAATGGTAGGTTTTCAAAGGTATACATTTTTCTGAGAGCTGATTTCTGCAGAGTGATTTTGTAAGAGATATTACCAGCCATTTAACAGTTTGGATACTATAATTTTTTTTTCACGGTATGAACATACAAAATTGGAACAATGAATTACAGTACCCCAAGTTTCCTATGATTTTTTTTTCCAGTTTTCTAACATTTTATCTAGTCTAGTTTGAACTGTTTTAAGTGACAGGTCTTCCACTTTAGCAAGCTAGCTGTGAAAGGTTGCAATATTAATTCCTTGATATTCAGCCAAAAGTTTTCTTCCTAAAAATGTAATCCCATTAGTCCTAATTATAAACCATTCCACAAGTCTAACAATGGGGTAAAGATGCAGCAGAGTCTAACGCCTCGTGATACACTGTGATAATAGCAATTGATTGTGTGTAGGATGCTAGATTTCATTCCCCCACCCCAGTAAAGCTCTTAAGGGCATTCTTCATAAAAGACCTGGGGCTTTAAACTACCATGATGCTCCTGCTCTGAAAAAAAAGCTTTAATTTGTTTACTTTTGCAGCAGACTGAAGAAAAAAACTGATAAATTCATTACTGATTTTGGAATTTAAAATAACTGACAGTGTATTCAGAGCTGGAATATGGATTCTTAGTTACTAATCTAGATAAACTATACGCAATACACATACTGCATCAATTGTACTTATTTGCCCTTAAGACAGAGAGGGCATGTGTATGTAGTGATCACTTTCCCTATATGGCTAAACAACCTCCAGACAACAAAATATATCACAGACAATAGATATTTTCACCAAAGGAACTATGGCAAATGGGCTCTGCTCATCATTGTGAGATATGCATATATGCTGAACATGCACATGTGTATCTAAAATTGCTTTCTATTGAATCTGCTAATAGCAATCAATGCATGGTTTCTGTTTATAATATATGCTTGCCAGCCTGTCAGTACTCTTTCCCACACTTATGGCTGGAGTCATTTTATTTTCAAATGCCTTTGCACAAATACAACAACTGATAATGAAGATAGGATCCCACAAGTGGGGCATGAATTGAATAAACCAGAAGAATCTGCTCCAATCATGAGTGCCTGAAATCAGTGAAACCACAACGGCTACCTATATTGCAACAACTGGTGCATACGATTGTACAATGGAAGACTGGCCTATGTATATAGAGCAGCTGGAGCAGGGTTTGTGTTTTGTTTTATTTTGTTTCATTTTTCTTTGGGGGGGGGGGGGGGAGTATACATTGATCAAAGATCACCAATCCTTACTATCAATTCTCCAGCCTAAAAGCGGAATGACTGGTACAAGTAAAACACACATGCAATGGTGAGCCCTCTATTTAGCAGGTTTTACTTATACTGAACAAAAAGGGTACATAGAAATACTGATGGGCTCTCACATGTACCTGCAAGAGTGTTTCCTGTAGTAAAAACAGAATCTACTGAAATTGCTAACTTTTCAGCAGGAATATTCCCCCGTGACCTGTAGCATGACTGGACAAGAAACCAAGAAAGATTGCACGCTAGCACAGGCATATGAAGCCACCATGAAAAGCTGAAAGCATACAGAAAACCCTAATTTAGCAATCTTTATATGCATGATCTTACTATAATCCAAGATGTGTCATGTGGGATATTTGTGTTGTTAATACCTAGTAAACTATGCACAATTTTAGAAGAGTTGCACATGGATCACCTCAATCAGCACGCGATTACTGGGAACTTAAGAAATGGCAGCCTGCGGCTGTGAATGCACAAACAGGTTCTCTGTCCTATCTAGGACAAGCGGTGCCTAGTATTGTTTGATGCCACCACAATGACCAATTACGAGAAACAAGCATGACTGCCTACCTGTTGTTGAGCAATCTGGCTTTGCTACCTACAAAGATAACCAGTAACACACCACCAGAAAGTAGCAATGCTAACATGTCAAGATCTAATAATGCAGCCCTCATCTAATGAGAACATACCTGAATCAGACATGGGTGAAGGAAGGCCACCTCAGATCTGTGGTCAAGAGAATGGTAGCCATAAACCAGGATAAACGTAAGCATACACCCAACACAGTAATCAATACATCACATCTCCATGGAAGCAGTCAAGGTGATCAATGTTACCCAGAAAGGAAATGCAAGCCACTTAAGAGGCTTGTTGTCTGTGCGTTATATTACTGTTGTTTCAAAAAGTGGGGGACAAGATATGAAATATGCAAATGTGTTGAATATGCACATAATCATCTAAAGTTACTTTCTCTTGAATCTGCTAATGGCAATCAATGTATGGCTTTACTTTATTGCCACAATATATTCTATGCCTGCAAGCCTGGAAGCACTCTTTCCCACATTTGTGGCTGGAATCATTTTATTTGGAAATTTACCTTTGAACAAATCCACCAGTCATCAAAAAAGAATCTACTTACAGAGGTTCTGTGCAATCTTTGGATCTAAGACTTTTAGCTCCTTGATTCGTTTCTTAATGGATTTCCTCTCTTCAAAATCTTCCTCCTCTTTTTTAACTGTCAGAATAATGAAAATGCACACTTAGGGACCGTATTAAACACACCAAACATAATTCTTGAATGGAAAAACCTTCAAAGACAGATTGCAGACAAATTGCTCCGAGAATACAGGCATAACTGATTAATTTGATTGTGTTATTTCAGTATGTTACATGGGGTTAGATTTTCATCATGTTATCTTTACAGAACAAGTTATTTTCTAAAAAGTTTAAAACCTAGAAATTTTACAAAAGGTACTTGGATTCTTTCATTTCAGACCATGTATAATGTTGCCAACTTGTGTTGAATTTGAAAGTTTATCATACCTAAAATTGACAGAATATATAAAATATGTAAACACCTATAAGACCACGTAAAAGAGTAAACTAGGGGACAGAATCACAGAGTTGGAAGGCACCTTAGGCATCATCCAGCCCAAGGGTGGACAAAATATGGCCTGTGGGCTATGAGCAGCCCACCAACTCATTCTATCCAACTCATGGCTGGGCAGCACAGGTGATGGGTGGTTCCAGAGGATGCTGGGAGAGGAAGCAGCCCTGCCTACCTGCCTGGCACCACACATCAGGGTCTGGGCGAGCCATGCTCAGGCCCCAGAGGCTCCAGCTCTGGCCACTGCTGACACCCTAGAGAACACTAGGTGGAAGCATCCCCGCATGCCCACCTACCTGGCTCTATGCGACAGGCCCTGGGCAAGCTGTGCTCAAGCCCCAGTGCCCTCACTCAGACTGGGACAGCAGCATCTCTCCTCTCTGGGGCTCAGAGCTGGCTGGAACTGCCCTAGGAACTAGGACCTCGCAGGGGGCACTCTGCACCTGTGACTGGAGGCAATGAAGCTTTCCCAGCACCTCGTGGTAGGTGAAGCCTCAGTTCTGACCCAGTCCTGCCTTGCCCCATGCAGCACCACAAACCAGCCCAGCCACCTGCCACCTCCTGGCTACAACCAGCATGGTTTCCATCCCATCTGCCCAGATGGGACTGGCACTGGCACCCTGGTGCTCCTCCCAAGGGAACGGAGATTCCTGGGCTGTTGGTAGGCACAGCCTTCATGGCCCTGGAGGGGAGATGGGGCAGACTGGAGGGAGCTACTACACTTCCCCAGGCTTTGTGGACACAAGTGTCAATGGGAAGGGGTGGGAGGCAGGCAGGTTTGGGGTGCAGAAAGCTCTTAAGGGGAGCACGGGGGTGCAGGCTGAGGCAGGAATCCCCTTGTGATAGTGGCTGGGTAGTGGCAGGGCTGTGCTGGAGGTGGAGGCTTCCCCCCTTGGCCAAGTGTCCTACTGGCTGGTTTTGGTACCCTTGGGGGAGAGACTTTATTTTGAGCTATTATGTGATCACCTCTATGTACGTTACTCAAAAAACAAAATCAGGACAAAAAATAGTTTTTGAGATAAAATTAAAATAGTTTATAGTAGATTTTTGATTTCTAGCATATGATTTTTTTGGGGGGGGGTTTAAATCAATAATTTGTTAATTATCTTCACCCTTAATTTTGTGTGTACAGCCCTCAACAGCTCACCAAAACTCATTAAGTGGATCCCCAGCCAAAATAACTGCCCATCCCTAATCTAGTCCAATCAGCTGCACAAATACAGGGTTCTGTATTCCTATACCATTCCAGCCTCCTTCTGAAAATTTCCAGTGAAGATACTGCATCTTTGAAGATTATAAACTTAAATATTCCCATGCCAAACAAAATGTAAGTGGAACTGTGAATAGAGAGCATGTGTTCAGACACAGTAAAATACTGGAGACTATCAAATAAGCTGATAGCAAAAGAATTTGAAATGATTTGGGAGTATGGTTGGATGTAAGGATAAAGCTGAGTATGTTAAAATGCGTTTCTGAAGAAGTAAGAAAAATAGTAATATGTTGTGACATTACACAATAGCCTAACCATGTATGCTGTACAATGTTACCACATTTATGGTTGATGTTTCTTAGTATTTCTGAAGGTAACTTAATACAAAGCCATTAAAATTTTCTCCTTCCCTTCCTCCTAAGACAATTTTTTAAACTAGTATTCCCCACATATATCAAAAAAGAAAAGCCTACATTTTTCAACAGTTACAAATTCAGTGTTTTTACCAAAATATGACACAGCTGATAAGGAACCAGTCTAGCCTACTGTCCATCTAACATCTTCAAAAACAAAACATACATACTTAAAATCCAGTACGAACACAAGCCATTAATAAAAAGTTAATTTTATATTACTTTATAATATACAACCAAAATAGATAGGAGAGGATGTGGTATATCTTAATTACTTCACATCTGAAATTAAATGACTTTTTTTTAAGCAGAGGTCAGTTCAGATCAATACTGTTATACAGAATACCAATATTTGAGAACAAAAAATAAATTGTAAAAACAGCATACAGTGGTTACTACAAAGCACTATATGTAGACCACTATACATGTAGATCACTGTAGTAGGTAACTGTATGCAACTTCCATTAGCAAGAACAATAGGTGGTACACTGGACCTTATCTATAAAGGAGGAAAAGAAAACTGAAGACATTATAAGAGTTACCTCCTCCTTAGAGAGAACCCCACACCTTATAAGAGGGGTTTCTTATAAAAATCTACAAAGTATTTTCTATGCCAAACTATACCACCATATACTTGCATTATCTTTCAAATTCAGCATAGTGCACATCACTAGCATTTTTTTTTATATTAACCGCAACTCTCACACCTATCATGTGTTACTGCTGTCCCATGTCACCCACCTTGGCCATTTTCAAGGGGCCTAAGCCTACCTGCTGAAGTATAGAGCTAAAGTAAAAGGCCCCACAGCCTATTTCTGAATGTAAAATGAACATTTGCAGACATGATAATCAGCCTGGTCAACAAAGTAGAGGGAGCAATCAACGTGTCTAACTACACCATTAACACAATCCAATTAACCAGAACACAAGGCCCTAAATTAGAAGATCGAAATATACTATATGGTAGCTTCAGCTTATACCAATTAATAAAACAGAATCCAATACATTTGGTTACACTAAAACATATATATTTTTATATAAATTGTAAAATCAAAGCAGCCTTGTCAGAAAAGACCATAAACTAAGGTAAAAAAAAGAAACAGGACGGTGATGATCAGGGCTCCAGGTTTTCCATTTGCCATGGAAACAATGAAGTAAAACATGGGTTTTCTCATTTTAAAGAGAAAAACCTGGATTTTCTCTTTTTAAGGAGAAAAGCTTGGGAAATGTTGGGTTTCCCCTTGCAAGCTGGCAGAGCTCCAGCCAGCAAAGGGCTGGGGGAGCAGGAAAAAGGTGATCAGGCAAGGGGCACCATGTGCATGCGTGTACATACACATGCACATGGTAGCCAAACAGCAAGAAAGCAGCTCCCACTACTTCCCGCAGGCAAGTTGAAGGGAACAGGGGGGATTGAGGCCCCCATAGGGAGGGAAGAAGTTGAGCAGGGCTGGGGTTGGGGCTGCTGCCCAGCTGGAGTGGTGCATGGTGCTTGGGGCCTGAGGCCAGAATGTGCAGATGCAGGGCCCAGCTTCCCATCGCTGTGCATACTCCTGGGGGGCACTTGCCCCCCGGATATGTGCATGGGGTGGGGGCAGATGCAGGCTGGCAGCTACAGGCTCAGGACTCCTGTCCTGCTGCCCTCTCCCAGGGACCTCTGTGGCTCAGTAAGCGGGACCTGGTGCAGCACGGCAAAAGCAGAGCAGGGAGGCTTGATGCCATCCCCAAAAGCCCTGCACCACCATGGCGAGATACTCCCTGCCTGGCCGTAGTAGGGCGCACAACCCTGCACCACCAGCCTGGCTGTTGCCGGGTAGGCAGGAGGAGCCTTGCCACTACAGCATGGGGCTCCCAGAGGCAGCACATCAAGCCTCACTGTCCTGCTCTGTCCTGCCATGCCAGTTCCCACCTGTTGCACCGTGGAGGCCCCCTGCAGGGAGGGCAGCAGGGCAAGAAGCCCCGAAACCATAGCTGCCAGCCTGTATCTGCCCCTACCCTGCACACAAATATAGACAGACAGTGACAGACAGACTGACCACAAATTCATTTTAATTGCAAAAAAATGTGGATTTGGGCAGGTTTCAAAGCAGAGTATTTACTATTTTTGAACAGAGGTAAAACCAGGATGCCTGGTGGTGATCAGCATTCCTCAATCATGAAGAAAGCAGATAAGAAACCTGCCCTTTAACTTTCCCAAGGACATAAATCCAAACTACCATATTTGCTCAACTCCAAGATGAGATCCTCCCATTTAAAAAGGGGTACGGGGGCGACAGCTGCTACAGGTCCAGTTCTAGCTCCTACTCAGGCTTGGGCTCAGAGCCGCCACTGTTGCCAACCCTGCCTTCACCACCTCTGCCCTGTGCTGCCACCCGCACTTCTACTTACCCATCACAAACCCTGCTACATGGCAGGGCTGAGGCTGGGGCCACCACCTGCTCCATACCCTGAGCTGGAATGGAGCTGGAGCCAAGGCCCAGGTGAGGACAAGTACAGAGTTAAGTGGGGGAGGGTTTAGTACTGGGTCACCAGGTGGAGGGTGGGTGGACAGAGGACAGGAGGCAATTGTCATGGGCCACACCATGACTTCCTCACTGCCTGACCCCCCCAAATTGCCTGCCCCCCTACCACTGCTTGCCATGCAGCAAAAGGGTACTAAGAACTATATCATTATATTATATAAATGAAACCACTGTAAACTTACATGATACTTCTTCAGGAGAATTCAGCTCACATCCTTTAAAATTGCCAGCACAAGAAAGCAAAAAGATACATATTACTTTTATTTCACTTTACAATAAAAGTTCCTGATTCATCTCCCTGCCTTTCAGCACTTCAGCTAATGAGGGTATTATCTAACTGAAGAGCAAAATGAGAACATAAACATGTATTTAGAGCAAGATGAAGGAATTACAAAAAAAAACCCCAGACAGAACAAAGACATTAAAGGGCTGGTCAGGTTATGTGGACTTATGAGAAGACAGAGAGCAGAAGAAAATGAGTGTCTA